CCCCCCCCCCCGACACGAGGAAACAGGCATCTGCCACTTAATAATGTCAAGGTCACTGAGGTCTCACCAGAGAGCATGCTGGGAAGTTTGTCTGGAACTTATGCATGTGCGACCACGCCAGCTACGAAAACAAACGCTGCTATCATTTGTTCAGTTTTTCATTCATCGCCTCACTGATTTGGCTTCAGGTACGAGCGTCATGATAATTCTGACTCCATCTGTTCGCTCGCTAATGATTTCCCACATTTCTCATTTCAGGCTTAATTTTTTAAACACATTCACAAATTTATCCTGCATCAACCTCACATTATATCCGTCACTGACCGAATCCACAGGACGGCACCATTACATTTTCCTCCTGCTTCGGATCCAAGAGAAACATTCACAACTTAAGAAATACTTTGAAAGTCTTTATTATTTTGCAGCGGAGAGAAAACTTTTGATCCAGATTGGCAGAGGAGTCGTTGCAGATTGTAGAAATCCTTTCAAAAGGATATCAAACCGTCACCTACTCTTCATGCTCATCATGTCTGTCGTCCAGTCGTTGACCCCAGTGTCAGCGTCTCCGGACTCCAAAGCCGTCTGTGTCACGTCCTCTGTGCTCTATAGGATGTGCTGATTAAGGGCAGCGTTTAAAGCAGGAACCGGAGCAATCTGCCACCAGCTCCGCCTGACGCTCTGCTCCGCCGGCGTTCAGTCAGCAGCGAGCGGCCCGATTAACAGGCGGCTTTATGGCTCAGCCGGGACAGATGGTGGAGCGAGCTCCATCCTGCCTGCCTGCGCTCATTCTCACCCACTGCCAGGGCCGATCACAGGAGATGGGAAATTTATTGTATAACATAGTCTGGATGAAACATATGCATGGGAATAAACTACAGAATCTACATGTTCACAGTGTTTTCTTGAAATTTGTTTCAAGGAATTATTAAACCAGAACGTATAGATTATCATATACATTTATTTTTTATCTTTGGACGGAGCCAGGCTAGTTGTTTCCCTTTGTTCCCAGTCTTTATGCTAAGCTAAGCTGTCTGGCTGCTGGCCACAGTTATATGTAGAGGGAACAAACTGACCAGAAACCATCTTTGCTCCATGTCCCATCTGCTGACATGGCTCCATCTTGATTTCCAGTCTATGGTTCACACATGTTGTGTCTGTAAATGTGTCAAGAACCTGCAGAGGTTGGTCAAACCCTATTTGTCAATGATTCACGCTCTGTTTATTGACTCGACAAGTTGCAGACTGTGTCGCGCGCTGACAAACACATGAGTCATGGTTGGAGACTGGCGAGACAAAGAGGTGATGGTCCTTGTTAACACAAACGATTTGCAGCAGACTGAGTGAATCACTCTGAGTCTCTCCTCACTTCGCTGTGAATCCAAAAAGTAAAAGAAGAAGCAGAAAGTTGTCGTGAAATTCAGATTATTCCTCGTGTGGTGTGTCTCTCCCCACCTGCCGCCGACTCCCTCCTGACTGTCACATCTCATCATTTCCATTTCCAGGATCCCGGCCTGGTCCCAGATCATCTCACGTAGCTTATCTGCTGCTGTGCCGCTCCATTTTAATTTTTTTTTACAGGATCGGAAAATGAATCCATGTCGGGTCAGAGTTCATCCTGTAGCTGGAGGGATGAAGATGGCGTGTGGCTCTTCATTCAGATGGAAATAGGACGAGGCATTTCTTTACATGCGCTCTCTGGCACCTGTTTTGCATGCAGCTTGCAGCGTTTGCAGCACAAAACAGAGGCGCAGATTGTTTGCGAGCAGGCCGGGTCTCGAAGGCCAAGGTCACTCGCTCGGTGTTTGCTGCCGTGATTGCACTTAATTCAAACCATCAGCACACACGCATGCGGCCGTGCACGGACAACCGCCCACAAAATCATACACAATAAGTTAGTGACTCCTATGTTTGCACATTTTGTTCTCAGTCCAGCCGCAGTGCACCGAGCAGAAGTTAGGATTTAAAAAAGTAAATAAATACCGCTCGTCCCTCTTTTGTCTCAGGCGCCGATTTAGTCCCATTCTCTTTACATTTCCTCTGCGGGGCGATTTACGCTATTACACAAAGTGTAAAAATCACATTTGACGATCCATTTCAAACAACAAACAGCACATAAAATAGTCGAACCGCTGGAAAATAGATCCCATTACAGCACCTGTGAGTCCGCTCATCATTCGGACGCCGCTCATTTCAGACATTTGAAATCTCTGTAACTCTGAGGTCAGGATCACGCTGACTGTTTCTTACAGAGAGGAAAAAAACGAATCCCAGCTAAAACTGCTGCAGCGTCTGAGGAAACAATGTTTTGTTTATTCAGAAAAATCCACAGCTTTCACTTTATTTTATCCGAGGCCCGGTGAGCTCGTCGTACGAAGCAGAACGAGGAGAATGTTAGAGTTGACGACAGGTGGCTCACTGTACCCTCTAGTTAATATGAGAGGCACGTAGCTGCAGAGCAACGAGCCCTGACGCTGCCTGGATAATCTCACGTGTTTGGCAAAAATACCACAGCGATGAGTGTTTAGCACTGAAAACTAAGAAGTGTCAGCAACATCGTGTTCTCTGTCACCTCCTGCTACATGTTTGATTTAACGTGGTGTCTTGTGTGTGCAGGATGGAAGAGACGGTGCGGTCGCTGCTGCAGAATCAGGGCGTCCTGGAGCAGACTGCTGTGGACACAGTGGACATCATGAAGGCCTACAAGGTAAAACACCACCACTCTGGAAGTCTCCTCTCCAAAACACGTCCGATCGCTCTCTCGTCCCAACTCAAGTGTTGTAAAACAAAGTAGCTTAAAGTTTTCCCTGAAAAACGATTTATGGTAAAAGTAACTGAATCTTAAAAGATGAGAAAAGAAACAGGAGCTGAAGGAACCTGTGAATTCACTGATCATTCACATTAGACATCTTGTATCTTTGAGTGTTCGAACGAATCCAGACTGAGTCAAGGTGAAAGCGTTCGTTGTCGACCTTGTTACACAAGAGAAATAGCTGCTGGGATTTCTCGGAGAGGCAGAGAGAATAAGTAATACTGTTTATTTCTGAGGCGCGGGGTCGTCTTCGGGGTCGCACTTCACAATTTAGATCTTAACGTGTTTACTCGGTGAAATGCTGTTGCCTCCAGACTACAGCTACACAAGCGGCACCTCCTCTCCTCCCAACCTTTTATTTGCAGCCTTCATGATTATACGTCTGCAAATATTTATTAAGGGTATACACCGGGCGTTTTTTCTGCACAGGACAACAACAGCCACCACGTTATTGTCTTCAACAACCGGCGATGTCTCCAGGGTGCGGCAGGAAAAGGGCACGACGAGGACAGAAAGCCCGCAATAAAAAGAGCGTCCGTATAAGTGACTACATCCGTCCGTCACTGTGATTTAAAGACAGAAACAGATGTAGAAAACTCTTTGAATGATGAGAGCAAATAAAAGTGGGCAGTGAGAAAGAAAACCAGCACTTTCCAGAACATGGACGAGGAACGTGGGATTAGCAGCCGTGATGAAGACACTGTCCTGAGGCGCGACAGCTTCATCGTGAAAATGTGACTCTGGTGAAACACGTGTGGAACGATGACAGTGCGTTAGTATGCAAATGATGTGAAGTCTATTTATGATCGAATCATTGTGTTTAGTTTCCCTGTTATTTGACCCAACATGCAGCAGGAACCAGAAAACCATTTGGTGTTTTCTCTTGACCGGATTAATAATTCCCAATTATAATATATTAAAATTAAAGTCAAATGGAAATTTAAATTAAATTTGTGTCACTGTCGCTGTTTGTCTTGTTGCTGGAAGAGGAACAAGGTTAATTAAATTAGATTTAATTTACGTTTATTAATTTACTTTTTATCCACTCGGGTCATAACTCACTATTAATTTTAGCTCTGTGCTTGTCCACATATGGATCAGCAATGACAATCCTCATTGACACTTAGCATGATTGCAAATAAAAAAACAAAGAGCAGATAAAACTCAAGTCGAAATAAAATTACACATTAAGATAGAAGACACTCAATCAGTTATTTATTAATAATATTAACTGGAAGCTCATTTCACCACAACCCGTGATAGGAAGAAGGTCAAACTGTGACGTTCAAGTCCACAAACTGATTTGTAAACATCTGAGGAGTTTGATATTTTTAATTCTCTTCTCTCTCCCGCCCTGATGAACGCTCGGTGCTGAGCTGTACTCACGCACCTCGGTGCTGTCGAGCAGAATGGACCTGCAGGGTTATTATGTTATTCCCAGTTGCTGTATAACTTATCACCGTCCGTTCCTCAGCAGCGATGTGCTCTTGCTGCAGCTGTGTTCTGTGTATTCAGCAGACAAACTCAATAACTTGAAAGGGCAGCGCGAGGAGCGAGGTCCCCACCACCACCAACGCCTCCCTCCCTCCCTCCCTCCCTCCCTCCCCACTCTCTCTCTGTGGAGATAATTACGCCATCTGATGAGCCGCCTCTCAAAGCCGACCGCAGACTTCACAGTCCAAACAAAAGCCGCGACTATAAAGCGTCGCCTCAAACTCAGTCGTCTGCTGCTGTCAAACAAGAGTGAAAACCTTGTATATGTTTAGAAGATGGGATCAGAATGAAAACACGTGCACCGAGATATATCACGCTCCGAGCGTCAGGCCCGATAATGATGAGATGGAGGTTCGAGGTGAACAGCACCATCGTGAAATTCAGTGCATATTTAAGAAGATGAGAAATGGCCGTCGTCGGGATTCGTCTTGTTATGATCTGATCCGTTTCATGCTGCGACTGACGACTTCTCTCATCATCAGTTTGTCTCTCAATTGTTTTGTCTGATTAATCGTTCAGCGACCAGCCGAGCAGGTCGCCGGAAAAAGTCTGAGAGGTCACGAATCGATCGAAAAGGTCAGGAGGGAAAAAAAAAAAAAAGTCCTGCTGCTCAAGTTTATAGTTTTTCTGACGTTGTACTTTTTTTTTTTAGCCAGCAGGGGGCCCTCCAGATGTTCCAGCTTCACTTTAAAAGAGCTGTCATGTCGCCCATCTGTATTTACAGTCAATTTGCCATTATTTTTGAATTCTACTTTTATCCCCTCAGACCTTCAGCTTTCACAACAATGGTCCAAATGTTTGACTTGTGTCCTGTAGCTGAATGCAGCTGCTGCTTTCTTTAGACCTCGAACGGCTGCTCAGGTGAAACAAAGTTTCCCAGAACCCCCTAGGCGGCTGCGACCAAAAATTCAAATGATAAATCGATGAACTATTTATTCCACCTGTAATTGTGTTTATTTAGCTTGAACGTTGCCGTGACGATGTTCAGTGGAAGCAAGACGATCCGAAGAGGCCTCGGGAAAAGATGCGATTAAAATCTCTTGAGTGTGACAGGGAACTCATCGAGTTTTCTGTCTTCCGTTCGGTGCTCGCCAGAACACGTCTGATTAGTAGCTAATTATTACCGGCAGTAAATTATCACACAGCCGAAAAAGAAAAAGAAGAAAGCGAGGAATCGAAATCTGGCAGAGAGCGAGAGAAACCCTGTGAGGGCAGAGCCGAGGCTCCAGACGAGATGAGCGTCCTCAAGGTCACTGCCACTCTTTGGAAAACAATGAAACATGATTAGGGATTAGGGGATGTTTTGGAGCTCTGTCGCTGAAGCTGCCTCCTTGTTGTCCCATCTGCCCATCTGATCCTCTCTCCACGTCTCTCGCTCGCTCCTTCCCTCTGATTCTTGCCTCCTCGCTTCTTTTTCATGTTGTCGCCCCCGTCTTTTGAACGCCTTCCTCCCATCTGCTCAGGTTTTTACTTTGCCAAATTCCCCCTTTCCTTCTTCTTCTTCTCCTTTTTGCTTCCCTCTAACCTTGTCTCGCTGTCTGTGCTTCAGGATAAACTCTCCGAGGAAGTGCAGAAGCAGCACGACGGCCCCGGAGAGAACGGATCCCCGCCGGCGTCTCAAGCCGAGCCGGACCTCAGGCTGCCGCAGAATGCCGATCCTGATGCCAGCCAAGCAGAAGAGGACAAAGACAAAACCAAGCTCCTTCTGGAGCGTCTCAAGGCCCTGGAGGTAACGACTTCACCAGCACACGGTTTCTGTTTCCCCTCTACCTTCACTTCTTTCCCTTTGTTCCCTTTATCTCCACCCACCTTCTCCCTGCTCGGTCCGTCTTCACTCCTCCACAGTCCTCCACGTCCTCACTCTGCAGCCACCCCTGGCGATCCTCCGCGGGCCGGCCTGTCTGACGGTTGTCAGGGCGCGGGGCTTGGTTTTGTGTGAAAGCGTGACAGCTGATCATATTCTCCAGCTTTCATCGTTCGGAGGGCCGAGTCATCCCACGGGAGTCGCTGCGAGGCCCTCGGGCCGTACTCCGGCTTTGCTTTAGTTTCCTCCACGCTCGGGAATCGAAGCCATGTCCGCCGCCAGCAGCGGCAGCCTCAGTCGTCCACGCTGATGGTTTTTTTTCCTCATGCCACTGGACACCATCCTCTCAGATCTCTAAGGCAATTAATAAGATTAGGCCCCAAGTCTGACCTGATGGTTCCTGAGTGACCGCTGCCCCTCATCAGACAAAAATCTTCTCATCACAAATCATCAGGTTATTTACTTGTTGCTGTCAGCGTCTAACAATGACTGACAATCGTCCTTTAATCAGAAAGTCCCTGAAACCACAGAAGGTTTCATGGTAAACACACAAAGAAAGAACAAATTAAAAAGAACGAGAGTTTTCTTCACGTTGCTTCCTGTCTCTCCAACGTTTCACTAAATCCTCCCTGATAGAAAACACTCCCTAGTTAGAGCAACGCTGCAGATAATTGCGTTTCGCTGCTCGGCTCTAAGTTATCGTCAGACTGGCAGCGAGTCCTGCTAATCGATCTGATGAAGCACATTACCTAAACATAACGTTTTCAAATGGCTTTATCGAAACGTATCTGCCATTTTATTCCATTCTGCCGTGCAGCGTGATGGATGCACCTCCGCGGAGACGGAGCAGGAGCCGTACATCATCGCCTCGCTTGGCGCACAACGTCCACTGACACTAAGTGAGCGCTGCCCGGCTCCGCTGGTACTGTTCATTAACTGGGCTGGAGAAAAAAACCCTGCGGGCAAATTCATGCAAAAGCAAATGAAAGGTTCGCACTCGTTGCAGGAAGAATAGAAGTAGAACCACTAAACTGATTTCCTTGATATTTTGTTCTGCGGTGCGCGCCGCATGTCAGAGCGACATTAGGATTCTCGTTCCAGCGTTTAAAGGCTCGTGTGTCACTGAACAATAAAAGCTGCGGTAACATTCACGTGGGGGTTGAGCTGACATAACACATCTTGTAGCGACGGAGTGAGGCGTCAGAAAACACTTTGTGTGATGACAGAGGTAGAAAAATAGTCTCCCGTGTGGGTTTATCTTCTGCTGTGTGAGGGAAAAAAAATCAATTTCAGGGATTATTTTAAATGCAAAAGTGACTTTTATCACATGAAAAGTAGAAATTTCATGCACAAACTGACACTTGAGGAACGCCAGTGGTCTTTAATCCCATTACATCCGTGTTCCAGGCCTCCAAGTTTTAATTAGTCTCTGTCTCTGTCGTAATTGGATGTTTTGGATTGTAATTATGTTTCCCACGTTTTCATCAAGGGTCTGGTAGTTTCTACTAAAGGGCAGAGGGCGATGGAAACAAGGCCGGCTGACAGCTCCTAATACGCTGCCCACCGCTGACAAATTGGAAACTCCCAGAGATCAATAGGGCGCCGCCTCGGCAGCTTGGCAAGTGGAGGAGATATTCTTATTAGGTCCGAACTCCAAATGGCCCGCTGCCGGCCCAAAGTTCACCATCATAACTTCCATCCCCTTGACCTTTCCGTCTCTGGTTCTTTGTAAATGTTTTATTGGCCGTCCAGGCTCAGCGCTGACATCTGACCTTCAGCGGAGCAGGTCTCCTCTTTGCCGCGGCTCCCCTTGATTGCTGCTTCTGTCTCCGCCGCTGTTGTTTTTGTTGCGTCAAATGTAACCAAAGTCCCCGTGAGGTTTGTGCCGCGCTGACTCCGAACGCCTCCGTGTGTTGTTTGCAGGAGCAGAACTCGACGCTGGCCTCGGAGAACGAAAGCCAGAGGGAACAGTACGAGCGCTGTCTGGATGAGGTGAGTGTTGTTTGTCTTGTTTATCTGAACCAACGCCGCATTCAAGGATGCTGCGCGACCCCACAGATGTTCTACTCACCTTGAGAAGTACGCGAGTGTGCGTAGGTGTGTCCTGACTCCACGTGAACAGAATGAGCAGAACATTGAGGTTTTAATGAGGTCCTGCTCTGCACATCGTGTTCCCCACAGGTGGGCAATTTACTGGAGAAAGGCGGAGGTGAACCGTTGATATTAACAATTAACCTAGAAAAGCACCATATCTCTCTCCTGGCTCACTTTAATAAAGACGTTTGTTTCAGTTCCGCTACATTAAGCAACAACCTCAGCTCCCTGACGCCTGATTTATGTATCAAACTTTGTTTTCCCTCTTTTTAAAAACTCTTACGCACAAACAAGGAGTCTGGACTTAAGTTGGGGGGACGAGGTCCATTCGATAATTAGATCGTTGTGCTGAGTTGGTAAAAATACACAAATCACATTCTGCTCGTGTCATAAAAGCAGAGATCTCACTGTTCGATGCTTAAAACCGGCCCATTATTTGCGTCTGGCTCATCCTTACCCTGACGTGAACTGGTGGTTTACATAACAGTGCCGCTCCTCTGCCCTCTGGTTATTAATGGGAGCCTGATAAGTGTTGCTCAAGGAGCCACATGAGAGGAATAAACCAGCGCCGCTGCTTCGAGAGAAGCATGTCCGGCGGGGACGGGCTGCACAGTTTGTCCTGGAACCAACAGGCTCAGCAGAGTGAGCCGACCTGCCCCGCAGGGTGGGGGAGATGGGTGAGGAGGGAACAGGGGAGAGACACAGAAGAGGGGTGAGGAAGAAGATTGGAAAGAAGTGAAAAAATATGAGATGGTGCTGCAATATATTTTCAAGTTAGAGTCTGCATCCCCCCACGGATCATATCTGGGGGTGAATTCAGCCCCCGTCTCCTCTCTCTGCTTCCCTGCCCTCACCGAGACGACTCCGCTCGGCTTCTTCCGTGTTTACCTCTCAGCTGCTTTGTGGTTGTTGTCTGTGGAAGGAAGGTTTTTTTGCTAATGATCTGGTTTTAACGATAGAAGCGGTGTGTGTGTGTGTCCCTCCAACCGCTGCGCACAACAAAAACCTAAAGCCTGCTTTGTAACAGAAGGGATGTCTATGTTTTTTATGTCAGACCAGCTGCACGTGTAAATATTTGTGCGCGGGCAGACTTGTTTTTCGTTTCGCTCACTCACATGAAAGTCGGTAAGAATTCAAACTCTCTGTCCGAGGGACCATCACGCTTTTGTTTGATCGCTCTGTTATTTTACAAGAGGCAGATCTGTAACTCGTCAACGCCGGTGTCCTCGTTTCACCATATTTACTCCCGTCTCTGCTCTTTCCATAAACGAAAGTGAGTGCACTCAGAGCAGCTGATGTGGCTTCACACGTTGTTAATGGGCAATCAATGGCCAGTAATCGGAGACGCTTCTCCTTCGGCGTTGCGGTCTAAATGTGGGCGAGTGTGAGCGTGTGAGACCAATAAGGCCTCGGCACAACATCACTTAAACCAGGAACACCTCTGCTCCTACATCACGCTGTCGATACAACCATTAGGAAGTGAGTTAGACACTAGAGGACATGTCGTGTGTGTGATCATAATAATTCACTTCATGTGTAAATTGGGTTTGTCCACAAAGAGCCTGTGAGGGTCATCACAATTACATTAACGTGACTCTTCTTCTTCTTCTTCTTTTTCTTCTTTCACTTCTTTTCAAGGTGGCGAATCAAGTTGTGCAGGCGCTTCTCACCCAGAAGGTTTGTCTCTTACTTCCATTTTTCCGGTTTGACCATCGACTGCAAATAAAGACAAATGACACGTCTCCATCAATCTCAGCTGTCAGTCATGACGTCTCTTATTTAATGTGTACTTACAGTTCAGGGGTTTGATGACATGTTCTTCATTGTGACGCTCTGACTGTGTTTCTTCTGATCCAGGATCTGAGGGAGGAGTGTCTGAAGCTGCGGACCAGAGTCTTCGACCTCGAGCAGCAGAATCGGGCGCTGGGTATTTTGTTCCAGCAGCGGATAAAACCGGCCTCCGACCTGCTCCTCCAGGTACGCTCGCCCACGCAGAGGTTCTCACCTCACCGACTGTCACACTCTGCCGTTAAGGAGATTCACTGGAGCGAGTGGGGGCGGGGATTATCAAATTACTGTGAGGGGAAAGGCGGACTCACGCTAAGTCGTGATTTATTCTCACAGTCAGTCGGAGCTGCTCTGGATGCAGAAGTTATAAATTAGCCACTGAGCTAAACAGCTCAACAGACCTGAGGGATGATAGTTGTTCTTGGTCGCAGAGACGCCGCAGTGTAAACCTACCCGCTCACACTCAGCCTCGCCTGCACGCGCTCAGGTTTCAAATGAAGCTGCGGCTCCTGCAGCACACACGCCTGAGCGCTTGTTCTCATGCATTTGAAGTTGTTTTTCTCTTTGGGTTGTTATTAAAGTGCTCCGGGGTCTCAGCCACAGACAGAGGCTGCACATAAGACTGTAAATACTTTGATTTAAGAAAACTTTCTCTCCTTTACATCAATCTTTTTTTTTTTTTGTCTCTGTCAGAAGCTGTTTTCTGGTCGGCTTTGAAGCAGAGATGAAGGAGTCGTTTAAAAGCGTGAATCCCTTGTAGTTGTTTTGCTTTATCTGGCTTTGTGGTTCAGGCTGAGGTTGCATGTGCGCAGTTTAAACGTTCTTATTTTCTAAGTCTAGGATTCACATATGCACAAACTTCTAAAAATCTTTCTGCGGGAAGAGACGAGTTATCACCTTCACATCCCACAAGATGACCACTGCACTTATATTCTCCTCGAACTCCACATTCTCTCATCTGAAGGGGCTGAAAAGTGCCTCGGTTCATCTGTTTGATCCTTTTGAAAAACTCTGAGGCTCGTTTCAGTCGGAAAATGTGCGGAAAATTGAGTTTGCAAAAACGCAGCAGGAGATTGTCCTGGTCTCGTTCACATGAATAAATTCTGCTGCGGAAAGATCAGTGTTTAGTTCATCCACACCGGCGTCCGCCCTTATCGCCAAAAGCTTGGAATCTCCTCGTCTTCGTCTTCTCCGTGGACAGTTCCTCTTCTTCACCCTGAGACATTTGCATTCCTCCAGGTTCACGTCCGTCACGTGTTAGAACCTCATCAACACGTCCTCTCGCTTTCTCACATGAGCTTTTTTCCAAACATTTTACTTGGACACTGGAAAAAAAAA